GAAGAGGTGACAGCGTCGAGCCTTTGATCACTAACCAAGCTAGGGGGCCACGGTGACGGGAATAACGTTAGAAACAGTTCAAAATGCCCTTATCTGAACGATATCTGGAGTTCCTGAAGCTGTCTTAACCAAAAAGTCTAGTTCCGAAGAGTGTTTTGTGTACCCGTGAAAAGTAAATAAATCATTACGGCGGAAAGATTTTGACATGTCTCACTATGTGTAGTCACATACGAAGTCGACGTCAAGTAGAAGCCTGTCTTATTGCCACAACAGTAGAACACAAGTAAAACACTCCGCCAAGGATGGGTTTGTTAAGCCCCTTCCTGTGTTTTCGTCCACTAACATTGTTAATGACATGCACACCCAGGAGACAGCACAATATCGGCAAGGCAAGGTATAAATATCCCAGTTAGAGTTGAAAATTCAAAAAGGAAGTGAGCACATGGCATGACATAGTAGTCTGATGTCTTCCTGACCACGGTTGGTTGGTTTCAGTCCTTCGTGGTACATCAAATGCAAAAGGTCCCCAATGCTGCTTGATTAGGGCAAAATTAACTTTGAGTACATGTCATGTCAGCAAATTGCAAGCATATCAAACAAAAAACCGTTGTCCGATTTTGCAAAAGCTAAATCATAAACTGTAGGGAGAAACATGTCATAGCGTAGTTTGAAATGGAAACTGGTAGTGTCAGTGACTCGGAAAAAAAAGGTTAGCAGATTATGTCACAAATTGAATCCTAAACATCCAGAGGGGATCATTCTACGAATTTTGATAGTGTCTTCTTAATATTAAAGAGGGAGAGTAAAGGCACTCTCGACTGCAAGGCACTGATGCATCACACTAAGTGAAGAACTGGGAACAGGCAGCCTCACTATCGAGACATATTGAAGTTAATTAGCCCGTCAAACACAGTATAACCTGCGGGACTCTCTAATTTTTATGCATTTATACATGCGGATGTAATTGTTCGATAAATTAGAGGGCCTGTCACATGAGCAGAAAGAGTAAAGAAGGTCTTTCATCGTTGAACGATTGTCTAATCTTGCTCAATTTTTTTGCATTGGTGATTCTGACGGACAAAACATGTGTGCTCGGGATGACTGCAAACTTACCGTACAAAGAAGGCAGCGGTTTTGGCAACAAAGTGGGAAATATGGATGCAAAAAGTACAGCATGACATACTGGGAAAGACTGAAGAGATGTTGCTGAGAGGAATAAAGAAGTCATCAGTGCAACTGATGGTAGATACAAGACAGGTATATTTTAAATTGCCTACGTTAAATCATGATTGCCATGTTACTAAAAAAACAATAACTGGAATGTATTTATTCGGAAAATAAACTCTCAACTTTAGAAAAGAAGATTGTTTCCCGTCACGAGTTTGCTTAAAGCCCTGCAACGGGATATGTCCAAAAATTCTTTAAATTGACTACATATACTGCGTCCGGATGAAAAGGCCTGTAGATTGCATCCGTATGATCGAATCAAGAACTATTTAGAACTTAGAAATCAGATAAGGTACTGGTCGGTGGACCTACCAAAATTATGTCACCTGGATTTGCTCCATGCCTCTGCAACATGACAATGCCATACCAGAATGTTATGGCGAGTAGGATGTAAATCGAAGCATCCGTGCATCCAAGAACTATATACAAAAACCAGAAACAATCCAGGCATCGTTTATTTCCCAAAACATGACTTTCTTGGCTTTGGATTTCAGCTGTACAAGTCAAAGTAGAAAACTCCACAGATGAAAACTGTGTTGACTACCGTTACTTCGATTACCATGTTTCACAAAAGAAAACCTTGGGAATTTACGCCATTTTCAAACATAAGAAAACTTCTCCAATAAAAAGGGTCTACATTTATTTTGGGAAATAAGTGTAATCAACTCAATCACTTGCATTTTCTCGTTGACATGTGCATGACTTACCACAGCTAAATAGTGTTGACCTCTTTACGCCCAGTTTCTCAGCATTTCCGAGTTCTGACTCATAACGAACCAATTCCTTGTCCTGACCTTCGAAAGCAAATATTGTTCTGATGGACGACAGAACTTCGCCAGCAATTCCGTTCGCCTTCGAATATGCCGCACGCTCTTTGATGGAGAATTTTCTCATAATTAGGCCCATTGAGCCCACAGCAGCAACGACGAGAGGGAATACAGCACAAGCAACCAGAGAGAGTTCCCAATTTTTCGTAAATCCAATGATGAGACCGCTGACGAATATCAGAAGAAACTGAATACAAAGTCCAAGTTTTTCCCCAATGCCAGTTTCAATCTTATCTACGCCCTCAGTTAATTGAGTGATAGCAGTTCCCACGTTTAGTTTGTCAAACCACGCAACGTCCTGACGCAAGATTGCCTAAAACGAAAGCCCGTTATGAGAATGATCTTCAGTAATGCTAGAACAGATATGTAATTGTCTTCCAATAAAAGAAAAAAATCAAAATCTCGTTAGAATATTTGTTTTTTTTAACTATGGAAATTCGAACCAAACAATAGCACAACAAGTTGTCTCTGAGAACATGTAGCGGAAGGTCAACTTAGCTTACCTAACGAAATAACATAACTATAGCAAGTGCCAAACTTAGTTTTAGGAGTTTCCAAAGAGTTTCAGACGTTAACAATTTTCCACACGATATTGCAGGTGAGATAACAGAATACACAGGAAGTCATATTGCTGGACACGGATATGTGTATCCACCCTTATCTGTGGCGCAGGGCTAGATATGATATAGAACTCGTGTTCATATGGGTTTTTCAAGATTAATGGTAATATTCTGAAGTATACTAAAAGAGGGAAGTCGCACTTTCCCGGCGTACTTATTTTAATGCAAAAAGAGCCCGTTGTAGGAGATTTTTCTTCACCCCCCGACTATGGCCACCAGAATCACAGGTACGATGGTAATGTGGACTTTCGGGGGAGAAAAAGTGATGTTTGTAAAAATATAAGGAGAACAAACTTATTTGCAACATTTTTATTTTGGTACACCAAAGGGCACTCTTCGTAAGAAGACGGCTCATTAGCTATACACATCCATGCATTACCAGCTACACAAAAGACAAACAGTTGAGATGGACCAACGTGAACGTCCACGTGTAGTCATTAATCAGACATTGTGCAACAAAAGTAACAGCTAACACAAAAATTCACGTAAGAAATGACTGAAAAATAGAGCGATGACTGCAAGAGAACTAACCACGATTCGTGTCGATAATATCCACATAAACGTATAATTTAAGTAAAAGTTCCGGGCATTAAGTTGATCAGCATCATTGAAATCGGTGTCAAAAGGCATGCTAAAGGATATTTCTTCTTTAGAGCAGTATCAAAATTTTAAAAAAGCACACAAAATTATAAAGTGAGATTTCGACAAATACTTTCCACAGAGGCAAAAAGGCAGGTATTAATCACCTCGTAGAACAGACGCCGTATACGTTTCGCTTGAAGCTTTGCAGACAGTTGCAAACAAAACATTTGAAAGAAGGCGACAACGAAGAGAACCAATCCGATTATTGCAAACCGTTGAACAAGTGTATTTATTGCGTTGGTGCTCGAGTTGTTAGGGACAATGAATTCATTTATTATGTCGGAAAAAAATAAAAATGAGACAGGCATTGCTGATCCGACCAAACAGCTCATGATAACCCCGACGACAAAAAGAAATATTTCGAATCTTGAGGCATATTTCAGCTATAAATGGGTTTCGGTGAGAAAAATCGGACAAACCAGTTGGAAATAATGGATAGTTTTCTTCTTAGATTCTCTAAACATAAATGTTAGGGTGAAATGAGTAATTTTACTGTTCCTCCTCTTCTGCGGCGTAACTGTCATGAAATGAAGAAGGTGCTATATCATACTCTCCCTCCCCTTCCATAATAGAAATTGCAGGAACACCGGTCGGCGCTATCCAAAAAAGTGCGCAAGATGACCTTGCCCTCCTACTGGTTCATTCAAAGTAACGTTGTTTGTTCCACGTTTAGAGATCACATTGAAGCGTGTGGAAATCTTTTTCTAAAATAACTTTAGTTTTCTTATCGGGTAGTTTGCGTAGCCTGGCAAGGCAAAACCGATGATAAACTAGTATTCAGGGCAAATATAGGGATGACCTCGGCGCTTTCAGGAGGCGCAAAATTTAGCACGGCACTGTATTTAATCGTAAATAGCGCATAAAAGTCAATAATAAGCAAAAGCGTATGACTTGTCTGGCAATCAAGTATTCATAATTTTTCTGTCATTTTTCTGGTTTGATCGGCAAAGCTCGGAAGCCACTTTATCCTAGCAGAAATCTATAAGTGCGTTAGGTGTTTGTGGATGAATAGCAGACGCTCATTCGGCAGTGGTAGAAAACTATACTACAAGAGGGTAAGGAATCCCAATAGGAAAAACGGACTGAGGCTAAGAAAATGCGAAGCAGGAACGCAAAACAAGGATGATAAAAGTGAAATATTGGTAGATTTATTAATCTGGCATATTTTATTAAGTGACTGTTTAGGTTGCAAATTGAAAAACCTGCCAATTCTGCCCGCAACAATGCTTTTCGCAGATTTACAGGGAAGCGAGTGCCTTCGGCAAGAATATCCCCGTTTATATCAACAGCCACACGGAAGAAAAGTATATTATGTGGCCGAGCAGGCCGTTATGAAATCCAACGAAGTACAACAGCTTAAAGCAAACTTGACGGAGATTCTGCGAACAGTGCAGGTAAATGCCATTATTTCCAGGCAGACAACCACAATTCCGAATCTGCCACTGTGCACTGAGGAGGAATGCAATGATTTTGCTTCTCGGCTAAGTTCAGAAACTGATTGCGCACAGGTGGTAAGTACACTAATTTGTCTGTATTTTTATAAAGACCTCTAGGCAAAACAGATGTCGGCTGTTGGAGGACGGAGTGAGCGCGAGTCCATAGGAAATCTACTGACTATTCTGCTCGGT